GAGCATGAATTGTGAGCCACCGGCCCAGCCCAAGGTACTGCCCCATTGCCCTAGAATTTATCACCTGGACTGCTCTCAAATGAATACGATGATTCTCAATTACAGCCCTGGGATTGCACACAACACACGTGTAAGGAGGGTCACGGTGTTTATATATACATATAGGCTACATATGTAGGGAGAGAACAACAACAAAAATCTCAGCTCAAGCTGCAGTTTTAGAAACTGAGGCTAGCCTGGCTGTCCTGGCTGAAATGGCAGGATGCAGTGAAGCTGGACCAGCCCACTTGCTGGACAGGCTTTGCTCAGTCTTTGTCTCTTCTGTTCCCACCTCACCTTATCTCAGGATCTTTCTGGTTGCAAGACAGTGATAGCCTTCCGAGCCTGGGTGTCTTAGGTTGGGTTGCTCGGGAAACTGAGACAAAGATTTGCATACAGGACCTTTGTCTAGGACTACTTTCAGGAACTAAAGCTGAAAGGAAGTAAAATGAAGCAGGATTGAGCAGAGGTAAGTCAGAATGGGATGCAGTTTCAGTAGCAGTCTTAACTGGCATCATGGGGACCTCTGGCTCCCGTGATCCTTCGCAGTTGTCCTGAACCGAGACAATGGGGCTGGAACTATTGACCTTCACACTGACTGTTGGATGTTGGCATCGCCCTAATTGGCACAGCTCTCTTTGGGTGCAGGGCATTTCAGTAATAGCTAAGATACTCACAGCTGGAGAAGCAAATGCTTTTGTCCTGAAGAGGCATCTGGGTGGCACCCCACAGCACCCACACACAGGGTACGAAGGAGCGGAATGGAAGACCGGTGCTGCTCAGGCCTCAGCGCTTAGCCACATCGGCCTTGCACTCTGAGCTGTTGAGAGAGAATCTGGCCATCACCCTAGCCTCTGTCAACTGTCCTATGTCACCTGGATGACTGGCCCAAGTCTCCAGACGGGTTCTCTCTTCCACATCTGCCTCACAGATCCTGTTCTCTATCCAATAGCCAGAGCCATCTTCTTGTCTCTTAAATCAGATCACAGGACAGCTTGGCTTAACATCCCCATCCTGGTGGCTGTTCACTGCACCTAGAATCCCCTCCAAACCCACCAAGGTCTCCAGGGTGAATGTGATCTGGGCCCTCCTACCTGTCTCCCACTACCCCCTGCCCGACTCCCTCACCACGCTCTGGCCACAGTGGCCCATTCTCACCTAGGGCCTTGGCCCTGCCATTCCTCTCTGGCTGGAATAGCCCCTTCTTGCTGAGTAGGTCTTGTTCTCCTATCGCCTCTTCAACAGGGTCTTCCCTGACCACCCAATTAAATGAACTCTCCTGGCCCAACCACCCACTTTAGCACCATCCCTGACTGACTTTATCTATTCATTTACCAGTGTGCTTGTTTAGTCTGTTCCTCTGAATCAGATATAAAGCTCTCTAGGAGCAGGAGTGTACCTAGAAGAGACCTCCCTGAGAACACTGGGCATATAAGTGTCCATGAGCCAGGGCCAACTACAGGCTGGGGATGGATCGCAGTGGCACTTGCAGTGGATCACAACCCCTGTCGGGAGTGCTCTTTCTCACTCGTGGAAAGACAATCAACAACAACAACAACAAAATTAATTCATTAATTCATTAAAATGACAGTTGCCATTACAGAGTGCCTGTTGTGCTAGGTTCATAATTCCCAGATGTTTAGGAACTTGCCTGAGAAGAGACTAACCTCGGGTTTGCGTGACCCAGAGACTGGCCTTTCTCCATGGCACTGATTGGCAAGTTAGGGAGATTAGAGGAGTTATAATAACTGAGAGTTATTATTAGTGAAATGAAATGTGGCAGGTCTTCCTTCAAAGGTACATTAATTCATTTTGTTTAAAATGTAAAGGGGCGGGAGAGACCAGCAGATGGCACAGTGGTTACGTCGCTGGACTCCCACGTAGTCAACCATGGTTCGAGTAGGACCCATTGGCTTAAACCTCACACTGGGTGCGTGTGTGTATGTGTCCAAAATCCCTAGAGAGGAGAGTGGAGGATGGAGAAGAAGGAATTGCAACATGGCAATCTCCCCTGGGAGGTTATTTCTCATTTTCTGTCTCTCTGTCTTTCTCTGTCTCTCTGGGAAGTACACATGCCCTATAGCAAAAATCTCTCTCAAAAGAAAAAAAAGTAAAGTGGGGACAGCAGGTGGCCTGGTGGTTGAGGTGCTGGATTCCCACATGGCCGACTACAATTCAAGTCTGGACCTGGCAGCTTGCTTCCTCACTTCCTCTCTCTGTCTCTCTGGTGAGCACACAAGCCCTATAGTGAACTAAATAATAATAATAATAATGATAAATAAAATTAAATAATTCTTTTAAAAAATAAGTAAAGAGAAAAAAAAGTAAAGAAAGGTTCAAGAGAAAGACAGAGAAAGAATGAGAAATGAGAAATAATCCCTTTTCCTCTCTTCTCCTCATGGGGTTTGGGGCATGCACGTCCACATGCCTGGCATGTTCCTCAAGCCACAAGGTTTGGGATTTGAATCACAGTTGACCATGTGAGAGTCTAGCACCTTAACCACTATACCTCCTGCTGGCTCCAGCATTCCAGATGCTTCTTAATTTAACTAATAAAAATTCTGCAGAGGCCAGCCTGGGGCATGATAGTGGAGTAGCTGGATCCCTGTGTAGTTCCAGTCCTGGATCCAGCAGTTGGAGGAACATACCAGGCATGTGTGCATGAATGTCCAAAATTCCCCAAAGCAGGGAGAAACAGGAAGGATTGTGGCATGACCCTCCCCTATGGGGGTAGGCGTCCTCGTATACCCACTCTAGCAAGCACACATGTTCTCTGGCAAATTTAAAAATAAATGGGCCAGCAGGTGGCATAGTGATTAAAGTGCTAGACTGCCACATGGCTGTCCACGGATCGAATCCTGGTCCTGGCAGCTTAAAACTTACGCCAGGTGCATGTATGTGCATGCCCAAAATCCTGAGAGGAGAATGGAGGAAATGGGATTGTAGCATGGCCATCCACCCAGGGGGTGATTTCTCACTTTCTCTCTCTCTGTCTCTCTGGTGACCACATTCGCCCTATAGCAAAAAAATAAAAATAAAAATAAATAATAAAACTGTCTAATAATAATAATAATAAAGATCCTGCAGAATTTTCCACATTTTGCACCAGAAGTCTTTAGCATTCTTCAAAGTCTGGCAGGAGATTGGTGAATTCCTTAGAGCTCCACCTCTGTCACACAAAAATAATTCCTCCTTGTCGAGGATGTTTGCATCTTTCCCATCCAGGCAAAGTGCTCCATTTGCATAAAACTGATCTTTTGAAAGGTGTTCTGTGATTTTCAACCGTCCCTAGAAATGAAATCACAGCTCCTGTCTCACCTTACGTTGAAGTGTTTTCACACTCCAGGGAACTGCTTACTGTCACCTGAATATAGAATCCAGTGGGCGTTAGTACCAAACTGATACTACTTACCGCTGTCTTCGGGATTTCAAAAAGGTGTCAAAGTGGCCTTGGAAGGTGTTTCTCCTTTATCGGAGGACAAGTTGAGTGATCCCCCTTTGTTCTGAAAACCAAGGGGCCTCAGACTTCAGATTCCCACCTAAGGGAAGATGCTTCCTGGGGCTTTCTCCCAGGAGTGAAGTGGAATCTGGAGTATTGTTTAAGCTATTGCCAGATGATGCAAGAGTGTAACTGTGAGAGAAAAGCAGTGTGCACCTTTAAGAAAACAATGTTTTTTCCCTAATTTCATAAAAATGGAAAAATACAAAGGAATTTATTTCCGGATCGGAAGCTACATACTCTAGTAAAATGGCTGGCTGTTAAAACATAGTGAAATAGCATGGGTGTTAAAATATAGTGCGTTAGCCTGGGTGTTAAAATCAAAGATGGATTTCAACCCTAGCTGTCTCACTCACAGTGACCTCGTGTGAAGAGCATAATCTCTCAGTATCAGTTTCTTGGTCTCTAAAATGGGGATCATCCCACTACCACTTAAGCTTGTCAGAAAGATTCCATGACACAACCCATATCAATTTCCTCGTGTGATGACAGTTTCAGTGGACTACAAATTGTCAAAAAGAGATGATATTCCCTTTTTAAACTCCAGGTTTATTTAGCCAAGCACATAGAAGCCTGCAAGACAAATGCAGAAGATGATGCTGTCTTTAGCTCCCAAGGTCCCTAATGAAGGGTGTTCAGCTGCCTGTGACACTAGCCAGGTTTTACCAGCTCAAGAAGCTTCATTTTGTGTTGCATCACAGCCCGGTTATAATTGGGACTGATGTCACCATTCAAGAAGAACTTCCAAAAACATTCTCTGTCCTTTGTAAGAAATACTAACAGAACTCCGACTTCATGGTGTCTCCAGCCAAACAGCATCTGCAAAGTCACACATCTTTTTTTAAAAAATTTGTTTCTTACATGAATGAGAGAGACAGAGAGAGAAAGAGAGACAGCACCCCTAACGGGTGCCATGATTCACCCTCATCTTCAGCTAGCCCTAGATCATGGGCACGCACATGTCTGGCAGGCTCAGGGAGGTCTCTGGATTTGAACTGGGGACCTTCCCATGGGGGATTGTCTAGCAGAGCGTCATGTTATATAGCTGTATATATTATGAGAAGAGCCCAAGGAGCAAAGTCAGGGTCAGGCTCTGAAGGCTTCAGCTCTCCCTCCACTTCTCTAGCACCCTGGAAAACCTTCTCCCCATGACAACCCAAGGCAGGTGGATGTTTAATAAATAGTCATGATGATGATAATGATGATGCTTATCTTGGCTTTAATTTACATGTGTTAGTTTCATTATTGATTTTGCGCTCCTCTAATTAACCAGGAAAAAGTCACAACCAATTTTAAAACAATTAGTTTTATTTTGCATCTGTGGTCCAATGGGAGTCTGGTTTTTCCTCCAATATTAATAATCACATTGTACAACTAACGCATTTCAGTTGAGATCGGTAGTGTTTGGGCTAATGTGGCGTTTTTCTTTTGTTCTCGTTTGTTTGTTTTGCTTCATTTCTAGGGTCAAGTTGTGTTCCGGAACGGGGAGAGGATGGGGACCATTAAGTTTACTCAATTTCAAGGTAGGCTTTCAGATGTTTTTTCTTTCTAGTTGATGAAACTTGTATTCAGGATTGTTGTATTTATGCAATAAAATTCATCCAAAAAAGGAAAAAATGATGTTCCAGATAAAAGAAGGCAGAATCAATAGAAAACACTGCTCTGTGAAAACATTACTTTCAACTTATGTAGAATATTTTTTCTCACCTGGATTACCTCTTAGGCCCTATTCAATCTTTTCATATGACTCTGAGAGACTTATGAAAGTAGGGGGGGTAGGGGTGAAGTCAGCTCCCATGTTCAGAGAAGCCTGGCATTGTTTTTGGTTTTTCTTATAGAAATGTTCAAACAGGCTCCAAAGTAGCAACAATAGCATAATGAATCCCCAGGTACCCCTCACCCACTTTGAGCCATTATCGACATTTACTAATCTTATTTTATCTTTACTCGCTCTCATCTCCCCCTTTTCTGCTGTAGTATTTTAAAGCAACTCCTAGACATTATCTCATTTCAATCTATAAATACTTCGGCATTTCTATTTTTTAAAACATAAACACAATCCAATGATTACATCTAAATCATTGAACAACAGTTCTTTTTTTTTTTTTTTTAAGAGGTTTTTGCCTTAGGGTGCCTGTGCCTGCCAGAGAGAGAGAAACAGGCACAGTAAGAGGGAAAGTGAAAAATCACCCTCCCCCCCCCTCCAGGAGGGGATGGCCACACTGCAGTCACTTCTCCATTCTCCTCCCAGGATTTTGGGCATGCATACACACACTCTTGGTATGATTTTTAAGCCACCAGGTCTGGGACTTGAACCACAGTTGGCCATGTGAGAGTCCAGTAAAGTAACTGCTATGCCATCTGCTGGCTCTGAACAGTAATTTTTAGTATCCTTTCATTCTCAATTTGTGTTGTTTCTCTGATCATTGCAAAGATATTTTTACAGGTGATTGATGGAAAATCCACATAGGGTCCACCCATTACATCTGCTCGATATATCTCTAGTTTCTCTTTCTTTTATAAGAAAGCAGGGGAGAGATACGTGTTTTTGACAGGGTCTCACCATGCCATGATCCTCCCACCCCAGCCTCCTTGTTAGCTAGGATGACAGACACACATTGCCATGCCCTACATGTTCAAGTTGATCTGGGATCTGAACCTAAGCCTTCTATGAAGCTCCAGCCTTGAGCAGCAGTGCCCTACCAACTGTGTCACCACACTGGCCCAGACACTCTTAATCTATGATAACATCCCACTTTTTATAGACCTCTTACTTTTTGAAGAAACCAGGTCATTTTTTAGACTTTTCTGCTATCAGAGCTGGAAACCATCCAGACCAAGTTCTTTGCTTGATGAGGAAGAATCAGAGGTCCAGAGAGGGGCAATGACTCGTCAGAGCCACAGGGCATCTGTGAGGAGCAGGGCTGAGCACTCCAGGAGGCAGACACCCCAGTTTAGCCCAGTATGGTCAGCAGCATGGTTGTTAGCCAAAACTGCTGGATGGCCATTCATCAGTTCCATGTTTTTCAGCATCTCGATATTTCTGGGAAGATCCAAAAACAAGATCAGTGCCTACTGTGTCCACTTACTTTGAACAGATCCCAGAGTCATCCAGGGAAAAGCAAGAAATTAAAGGGAATTATTCAGATTCAGTCAGACAAATCCCCCATGATTCAGATCAATCAGGAGAGGTGTTCTTCTGCACTATCACTCCCGTAATGCAATCTTGTAGATTTATCCATTCGTCTTCCCATGGCAGGTAATTGAAACGCATGTCAGCTCTCTGGCGTGCACAAAAGATGTAATTTTAGGCCAACGTAATTATTTTCCCATTTGTTAAGTCTTATTTCTTCATTGGTTGAACAAAGTAAGCATCTTGGCAAACATACTTTTTTTTTTTGAATGATTACAACTAAATTCTCTTGTCACATTTCCAGTCCTCGAATGATACCATTGTAGGAGAGTATTTTGTGAAATATGGATTTGCCAATCACAGCTACCAGTGCATGCCAATTGTATCGCCTTTTTGTTTGTATGCTGGATTTAGCTCTATGTCTGGGTTTATAAGGATGTCAGCACAGCAAGGAGTAGTTCAGAGGCTCGGTGGTCTAGCCCATCTGAGTTCAAGTCGCTTACTCACTGAGGAACATTAGGCAAGCAACTTCACTATTCTGAGTCTCGATTGTCTTCATCTGGCACATAGGAATATGGTCCTACCTAACCCCTTGGGATATGGGAAGAACTAAATGAGATAAGCACAGAAATTCATGCATTCAATTTTTTTGCATTTTTTACTAATTACTAATAAGTAGTCATTATGATTAGCACCTTGTCAAAGCTATGGCATTTTTCTGGGACAGATCTAAATTTCCTGGTGCACTGAAACCCTCAGATGCCTTTTTGTCTGCTATCGACTGCCCCCCACACCCCCCACAGCTGCTCCCCATGCTTAATGATATGTGGGATGTCAGACAGGGCAAGGCCTTGGAGATAGCTCTTTCCACACTTTGTGGTAGAAATGGGGAAACTGAGACCCAGAGGCACACAGCTAGCTAATGGCTAAGTTGAGACTGGACCCCGCTTCCCCATGCCAGCATCCTTGTGCTCTCGTGGACGCCACACTTGACATGTGTCTCTCATTTTCTCCACATCTGCAACCAGCTTTTATTGACTGTCACAGCTGGGCTTTGAGATCTTCCTGTTTATACATGTTTTAAAATAGACGTTGATCCTGTTGATGAGGTAAAAAGATCCTATATTCTTTTGGGATTGAAATGAGCCACTGGAAGTGGGAAACTGAAGCCCCCAAGAGGTGAAGGAGCTTGCCTGGAGCAGGCTTGACTCAGTATGAGACCATAAGTTCATTTCTTCCCTTCTCTGGGCCCACGCTTCTCCCTCCCATCTAACAAGGGCTGCTCCAGTGTTGCCCACACTTAACTTTTATTTATTTATTTATTTATTTTAAAAAATTATTCCAGGCCGGCAGGTGGCGTGGTGGTTATTGGTGCAGGACTCCCACATGGCCGACCATGTTTTGAGTCTAGGACCTGGCAGCTTGCTTTGTCACTTTCTCTCTCTCTTTCTCTCTCTCTCTCGCTCGCTCTGTCCCTCTCTGGTCAAATGAAAACAAATAAATAAATTAATTAAATTAAATTAAATTAAATAATTCTTTAGAAAAATTATTCCATCTAAATTTATTTATTTATTTTCATTTGACCAGAAAGGGACAGAGTGAGAGACAGAGAGAGGGAAAGTAAGAAAGCAGGCTGCCAGGTCTAGGACTCAAATCATGGTCAGCCATGTGGGAGTCTGGTGCCCTTAACCATCGCATCACCTGCCACCCCTCTCCACCACCCACTTAATTATACGTAGGATGTCAGAAGGTTGCTTTGTCTTCTGTACCCTTCCAGGAATTTACCCACAGGGTTGGGCCTGCCTCCAACCCTAGGGTTACCAGCTTCTAAACTGCCTCACATCCACGACCTTGCAAAGGCCTCTTCGTGGAGTGACTGTGCTCTTTTTCTGCATGCCCCGTACTCCCTCTCTCTGCTGTCTCTCTCTGCCTCACCTCCTGCCCTTCTCTTGCATTTAGAGGGGCAGTGGAACAGCAGATCTCATGGCAGAGCTGAGTCACACAGCCAGCCAGCCCTCAGCCGGCCCCTGCCATGAAGGCTCCCTTTCTGGGGCCCCTCCTAGACTTGCACCTGACTGTCTCCAGTGCTCACAGGCAGGATCCGGGAAGTAGCCCCAACCCACCATCCCACTGAAGACCTTATGAGAAACTTTTTCAGCTTTTTATTTGCATAGAGTTTCTAGTGCCTTCTAAACCCTTTGTTTACACTAGAGAAAATATTTTGTAGGGGGCTCTCCTAACTCCTTTGCAAAATAAAACATAATAATTAGAAATAAGAGGCATCTTGGGCCAGCTAGGCAGTGTGGAGGTTAAGGTGTGGAGATTAGGTCCCACATGGCCAACAGCGCAGTTCAAGCCATGGACCTAATGGCTTGAAAAAACACACTGAGCGTATGAGTGTGCGTGCCCAAAACCCCAATAGAATAGAGGAGAAGAGATTGCGCCATGGCTATCCCTCCCCCAGGGGGTGATTTCTCACTTTCGCTCCCTGTCTCCCTGTGCTCTCGTGGATGCCACACAGTAAGCACATGGGTCTTATAGCAAACTAAATAAATAAATGGGAGGCGTCTTTGGAATCAAGTCTTAAAGGGAAGTCAGGGGAACATGGTCCTGCACTAACTCTAAGGCTGTAAGTTTGGTACCCACAGGGCCTGGTAGTAAACATTGATGGAATACTTCAGATGCAACAGACCTATGTTCAAGTCCTTTCTCTAATGCATATTATCAGTGTGATCCTGGGCGAGTCACTTTATCTCCTGAAGCCTTCATTTTCTCCCCTGGAAAATGGGATGACACTAGCACCCACCCTGCCTGCCTCCTGGGGCTGTTGAAAGGGGCCGAGGAGCTTGTGCCCTGCAAACTCTCAGGTGCTGGAAGCATTGTCTCCTGACTGGCGCCCTACCTGGCTCCTGGCTGGCTCTTGGCAAACGTTTACTGCATTCATTAGTGAAAGTGTGAACCGTGCTAGAACCCCAAGCTTGAGATGTAGCTTGTGGAAATTTGAGAACTATTTTATTGACTCTTGGTTTTTCAGTGACTAGATTCAGGGCAGAATGTCTGGCAGCAATCCTGAGCCTTAGCAACTGGAAGGTGAACCGAAGCTAATTCACAGTGGTAGCCATTGTTCCAAGCTGGAGAGACCAACCTTTTTAAACATTTTTACAAACTTTGAAGTCCTGGGTAAATAAGACTGTTCTAAGATAATGTGCCAGGGCTGGCCCCTTGGTCTCTCTTGAGACTGAGGCATCTTTACTCTAGGGAGAGACTTACACCCTAAGAATAATCTTCCTCATTCCCAACTTCCTCCCATTGACTCAGTTTCCCAAGGCTCCAAAGCCCTGTCCTCCCATCAGGACTATTATAGGGGATAGGTGTGGTAGGTACCACCTT